AGACAGGGAATATCCTTATCCGCACCATTGGAAGATAATGTAGAAACCTCCACCTCCACCTCTTCACGGAAATCAAAGGGTGAATCCCACTCGGTACCTTGTTGCAGGGCATGGTCGACCGTATCATCTCCTAGCAGTGCGACTATATCGCGCCATAGGACATCTTCTGAAGAGTAAGGCTCTGGCAAGATACGCTTCTGTTTCCTCTTTGCTGATTTCGACACTTTCTTGGAAGGTCCAGATACCACAGGGATACTGGTATCTTCTTTTGTTACATTGGACTCATCCATGGGATTTTCCTCCAATCGAATCTTCTTCTCCACTGGTGCAGGAACCTCGAGATCGATTGTCGGTGATCTCACACGGGTAGACATTGCAGCTGATAGTGTCTTGAACTGGCAAAAAAAACTGGTTCGAACGTTACAAAGTAGACCAGAAGGACAGGTTGCCAGTCGACGCACGCGATGAGAAGGAGCTAAAAGTCTTGAAACGGTGTGGATGGTGTTCGCAACAGTGACAACACTCATGCCCTGATCATCAAGCGCACCTGTTGCAATTTGCAAAGGTGCCCTGATTCCTTCGTGGCGTCACACCAATTGCGTTCCGGACTAGGAAATCCACACGTGACTAAGCGTCATACTTCGGTTATTCTTTGTCACTTATCCGTATGCTCGGACTTGCAACCACATCATCATCACATCATTAGGTTTTGCCAAGGCTTCTAAGCCGCTTTTATTACGTTCCAAATTCTGCTAAACCGAGATAGCTTGGTTGTTTCTTTTGCACCATGATCATTGCCCTCGCCCGCTCACTGCTCTTGGAGCCCCCTGAGACGACAACGGGTGAGCCAGTGGATTCACCTACCTTCTGGTACAGGATTGCTATCAGTGCCGTCCTTGTGCTTGCGGGAGGTGTATTTGCAGGGTGAGTCTATGCAGTCTACTAGGTCCTTTTTTGTTATGTTTGATATTTTGTCATAGATTGACTCTCGGGCTGATGGGGCTCGATGAATTGCACCTGCGTGTCTTGGCTACGTCGTCAGAGGACTTGACGGAGAAGCGCAATGCGCAAAAAGGTGCGTTGCCAAACAGCCCTTGTTTCATTTCCCAGTTGATGAAATTGGTACACGACGACCAGTATTAAGACTGATGCAGAGAGGTCGGCATTGGGTATTAGTGGTATGTTGATGCCCGCGCACACGCACAAATAACTTATCCTTCATTATAGGTACTTCTTCTGGCCAACGTTGTGAGTGGTTATCTCAGGTGCCCGTGTCTACAATAGCTAAACACCCACAGGTCATCAACGAAAGTTTGCCTATCTTTCTTGATGGTGCCGTAAGTAACGGAATTCTTGAAACATCAATTGATCGGCTCCGCGCCGATTAACAAATACTATTCGCGTTATATAGCTTGGTGGCGGCATTGCGGCCGTTGTAATCTCTACCACAGCGATAGGTACGCATCAATCTCCTACTAGTATCCATGAGTTCGTTGTCCGCTGATTTTTTGATTATAGTTATTTTTGGGTACGTTTCGCCCCTCTCGAATCGGACTTGCTGAACAAGACACCGTATTCTTCTTTTCCACAGAGAGTACGTGACAACAAAGTATCCAGTTGATCCCATCACATTTTCTGCAGAGTTATTCCACAGGCTGTTAGCGTCAGATATGGCCTCGCAATTGGCGCACGATGTGCCCCTTTCGTGCTCTGCCTTATGTATTTGTTTGGTAGGTGATAGTGACATGCATTGCGTCGAAGTCATAATAACTCCGGATATAAAATAGCTCCTATCGCATACCCTACTGCGAAGCTCCTCGATTACGTTCTAGGCCAGAATGAGGGCCATACGTACAAGAAGGCTGAGCTCAAATCTTTTCTACAGTTCCATCGCACGGGAGAGGAACCGCTACGGGATGACGAAATCAGTATATTGAATGGTGTGCTGGAGCTCAATACGAAGAATGTGGAGACGATCATGACACCCATCCAGGTAAGTGTTTGCGTTGGCGATATAGGACGATATCGCTCATGTGTCTCGGAACTGTAGGATGTTGTAACACTGAGCTCAGACACCATTCTTGATCACAACACAGTAGACGCAATGTAAACATCATAGTTCCAGTTTCCTGTTTTTTTTTACTAACAGCTCGCTCAGTCTCACAAGTGGCTACTCACGCTTTCCTATACATGAACCCGGGAATCCACTATCATTCCAAGGGCTTCTACTCATCAAAAAGGCAACTTTCGATGTTATATGTCAGTCTACCTAAACGCTGAAGTTGTTTCTCAGTTGTTGGTATACGACCCGGCCCGGGCTCTCCCAGTCTCGGATTTCAAGCTCTCCATTCTTCCCGAAGCACATCCCAGTATAAATTGCTTCCAGGCGCTAGATTACTTGTGAGAATCTTCACTTGAACTTCCGCGGCTCTGATGCATGTGTTACAGTCAAACAGGACGTGCCCACTTACTACTGGTTAGCCGGACACCTGGATTAGCAGGTGGTGGAATTGGAGTGATCACACTCGAAGGTGTGTTTTCCCAGACAGCTCTATCCTCTTACTAATATCCATGCTCCAGACATCATTGAGGTGTGCCTTGCTTGGACTCTGGTATATATCCAAGGATAACAAAGTTTTGCAGGAGATCATATCAGAAGAAATTGTGGACGAAACAGATCGATACGAGGATAATCAGAGTAAAAGACGTGCGAGACGACTGACTACGGCTACTGTAATGCGCGGGTCTGTGTTTCATTGTCACTCTTCCACACCTGTTGTTGATATACCATCTTTCAAGGATTGTGGAGCGAGAACGAAGTTTAACGCGAGTGCCGTCCTCCGACCGGATACCCCTGTTGCGCGATACACCTTTCACACCATCTCCGCGTTCTGATCTCAATTATCCTCGTTACGGTGCCATACTCAGCCAGTCCCCAAGAACGTGAAGATCGCAACCACATTCATAGGGCGTACGCTATTGTACGCTGCCGGAGTTATTGGATGAATCTGTTTGTTTTAGTATATCGACTCGTCGCTTGGTATCATCAATTTTGGATTCAATTGGTTAGTTAAGTGTTTTCCTTTTTCGAGATCCAGGCATGCACATTCGCGGGATAATAGCTGTGTCTATCCCATGATGGCATGCCCTCTGCTTTCATAAAACAGACTAGTACTTGGTGTTGGGTCCGAAATTCATTCATACGTGGTATGGTGCTAGTCTGTTGAATTTGTACTTCAGTAACATTTACCCAATGTACGTAGGCTGCGAGGTATTCAGGAAACGTGTGGACTCCGAGTTCTCTACTGTGAACGACTGCAGAATGAACCCTATGATATTATTGCCATTGACCCAAAGCCGATATATATGCATGAAGACTATGATATCTGGAGAACTTATTTTCAGGAGGTTGTAATGATGCGTTGAGGGCGCCATTTCCGTGTCTGCAGATGAAAACCGATCACTGTGCCATGGTACAGAACGCTAGGATAGTATATATATGATATATTCCAGTGTGTCTGAGGTATGTAGATAATCGACCTCTCCTTCGTGTTGGTAATATCTAACGACAAAATGGCTGACTAGTGATCATCGCTTGCCGTTTCATCGAGCTCTCGTAGTCGTTCCTTCAGAGGAAACATCAATAATGGCTCACCTGTCTAGGTAATCGTCCGCGAACTTACCTCAAGAGCAAACAGGTGCGAATCATATGATGCTGGTGCAAGCTGACGGACCGATTCCGCCAGGCGATACAGATATTCCTGATATAAATGGTTTCAAATTTGCTCTGACATGAAGGAAGCTTGACAAGCCTTGTTCCGTCCAGAGGGCCCCTCGGAGACCCATATCCGCTGTGCCAAGTCCTCTAATGGTTCTGAACCAACTGATCGCATCGTCATAAGACCGAATTCAAAAGAGGAAAGTGGGATGCTCACTGAATGATGGGTTATCTGGCCGACCGACATAACACTTGCTTCTCGTGAGATCGGCACAACTCAGTCAGAAACACAACGCGTACGAAAGCCTGAGTTAAGGAATCAACGATGGCCCGTAGGTGAAACAAGTGAAGCGTGTTGCGTACATCCTGAATTGCAATTCTTTCGATCCCATTCTCTATGGTATAGACATGCAGCGTCTCCATCGTGTATCCATCCTGATCCATTGTACTACCTCGAATGATCGGATACTCAGTTCTGTTGAGCGACGTACCTTTTCTCTGTAATCTTTTCAGACACCTCAAGTGTCAATACGAACTATGGAGCCTTAACATCGTAGGCCATATCGGACTCACCCAAGTAATCCCTAACTTCTGCCTCGTATTCCGGATCAATCGTGTACGCTATGCCTGTGGAGAGGGACATTATCAGCAGGAGAGTGCCTCCATCGGACGAAAGAACCTTGCCCCAAACAATATCTTCATTCGGGAATGCATCCTATGTAGTGTATGTTTGCGGATATCCTAGAAGTCGAGAAGAGATGAACTCACAGACTGAGAAAAGCGATCCCAATCCTCCTTGTGGATAAGAGTCACCACACGCCCCGGATTCTGCGAGTTCACGATCAATACTACGTCAGGAGTTCCGCGGACATGTACGATAAGTGCCAGGACACACCTCGGGTGTGCCACGATGATCATGCGATTTCTGAGCGAAGCGCCTTACATAGCCTTTTAGGAATCCGGAGGCTGTAGAAAGCCATATTCACTGTAACATGTTTGCTAAGCTAAATGGATTGATCGCTCACTCTGGGATTGGACGTGAGGTGGGGGCTATACCGGCAGTGATCGCAATTAGTTAGTGACACAGGCTTTCGTGGCTGCCTGTCCTCACCTTGAATATCAGTGAGCCGTATCCAAAGACTACGAATGGAGCATTGATGGACCCCATGGGCGACCTGTGAGTTAAGCGATGAATACTCGGAGCACAATGAGTTGGCGCTATGCAAGAATGCTGAACAGGCGAGAACTAAGCGATATAGACGCCGAAGATACTGCGGCTACATACGCTATAAAGGAAAGCAAATTCATTTTACGATGACCGGTAACTACACAGGTATGCTAATACTGTCATGTGGCAGCGTGACAATACACCACGCTGGGCCACGTAACAACTGCATAGCATAGCGGGTCGGAAGCTCTAGCCAGGACCAGTGGGTATATACTCTAGTACAACGAACGAACAACTGTCGATCCTATCATACCGTGTCGCGCAGACTGGTGTAAATCGGTTCCGGGTATTTCTAGAGTGTACACTTATCCATACAAGGGAAGACGCTAAGGGGATGCCCTAGTCGGCTCTAAGACAAAAGGAGTCAGGCGTGCCACAAATACGGTTGATCTGCATTACCTAAAATTATACTTCACTCTTCCCCTCCACTCCACATATGCTGGACAGATCCAATACAAAATGTGTGCAATTCGCATGTACCGGGGCATAAATACCGTCTTCTCTTTATGATCAATGGCCTGGACACAGCGTGTCGCCACCACCTCGCGTCGCAAGCCATGTTTATTCGGGTCAGCTTCGTGTATAACGGGGGAAGAGTTGAGCGGTGTGTCGACCGCGGACGCGCGGAAGTCCCCCTCGATCGTTGCGGGAAGGAAGGACGTGAATGATATACGGGGGTGCTCGATTGCGAGCGCCTGAAAGAGCATTTGGGAAGCTGATTTAGTAGAAGCATAGATGGTGCGTGTTGGCGCAGGAATGATTGCTGCCGCACTCGAAAGGAGAAGGATAGATGGTGAGATGGAACAGGAAGTGAGGAGAGGTATCTAGTAAGTTGAACATTTATGAGTGATCAATGCATTGCATGGAGACGTAATCTCACAAATGTGATCGCAGCAATGTATGGTCCGAAGAAATTGCCATTGGTGGCTGTTTTAGCGACACCAACCGCGTGGTGAATGGCTTCAACCGTGGCGTGTGGCGGAGAGAGACCATCTTTGGAACTAGTCACTCCAGCAACCGTCATCAACGGTTGAAGGGCAGAAACACCAGCCGTGATTATGAGCGTGTCGATGCCATCCCACTCTGACACATCACCTCAATGACAGTGCGGAATAAAAGGAACTATAATACATACCTTTGATCACCGTGTCACGCACCTTTGTCATGTCTTCCACGCTTGCGCAATCGCCGCGCACACGCAACACACGACCGCTTTCACATACCCATTCCTTCCTGCATTCCTCAGCAGCCTCATCAAGCATTGATTCCCTCCGTCCTACCAAGCATACCCGTGCACCTCTCTTCGCATATTGATGAGCAAGGGTACGACCTACTCCGCTCGTTGCACCTAATATGAGGACTCTCTCTTGTGTTGGTGGGATCTGAGTGAGCCGTGGTGCAGGCCGTAAGTACCAGAAGAGAATGAGAGCAAGAGACAGGGCCCCAAGCGCAAGTTTTACCGTTGTAATGTTGAAATGAGAATCAAACATGGCAAACCACAGCACTCTAGATTTCAGAAGGGTTTAAATATAATATGTCGTGTTCAAGTTACATCAGCAGAAGATCCACGATTTTAAAATTTTGGTCAAAAAGAAGTTTGACAGGCTTCCGGTGAGCCTATGATAGTAGTACGACAGCACTGGTGTTAGAGCCACGCGATTGGTGGAACGGACTTTTCCGCAGTACATTGTGTCTGGACTCGGAATTCTGCCCACGGGTGGACCAACCGGTTGGCAAAACTCAGCAGTTTTCCTCACAACACACGAATATGAGACATTCTCCACAATGGCACACTATATTGTGGTCAATGAAATGAGAACAATCAAGTACAGATCCGAGAGTTTAGAGCAAGTGGAAAACATGCTGGCATCACAGCCCTGTCCATCGCACATGGGATAGTTTACTTTGCATATTTTGATATCAGAGATTACTGAAGTAGGGGATAAAGGTACTCGATTTTACTCACGTTGGCACGACGGATAACATGTTTATCAACCGGAAAATCGGGTGTTACAGAGCTAAAATTATTATACATGTCCAAAGAGACGGCCGATTCTCCATCCTTGAGTCTTTATGATCAGAATTTGGAGAAGCTTCAACTTGTAACATAAACGTTAGTAAGGTATATTCCGCTTGGGAGGCTCTAGTCATTTACTTCACATTCGGCTCTGATGTTAACCTCTACTCCGCCAATATCCAAGTAGGCGACTGTCCTGACTTGTGCTCACTCCCCATCCCGTCCGCTGAAGTACTGCCACTGCGCGTGAATTTGGATATATGGGTCTCCAGGGGTGTCATAGGATATTCCTGCGAATTGCTTTGTGCCGTTCTGACGGTTGTCCTTCCAGTTGAGGTTGAGAGGTAACCGCGATGTTTATTCATGGCGATGCGAATAAGCACCATGTAGAATGTAATCGATATGATCGGCATTAGCTAGTTGATCATAGCTCAGTACGTTTCGATATCACTCAAAAGGGGGATTACCAGGTCCACCATAACAAACTCTCCATTGTTTGAGCAGAGGAAACAGATTAGTGCGGTGAGAAGTGTCACAGAGTACAAAATGGCGGCATCCACGAGCACGCGTACTATTGGCATCAAAGTGCCTCTCGTACTGGCGCGAGTGGTAGTGATATTGCGTTCAATCACCCATATTCGGTATGCCATTAATCCTGGACACATTCACAACTTCTGCACCGTGCTGGCGGAAATGAGCTTACCTGAACCCGACACATTAGCTGCCATAGTTGAGACAAAATATGCCATGATATACGTCGCAAGGTTTTTGGAGAAAACGCTAGTAGTGGACTCGGATTGCGAAACACTGTAGACTGCAATGGTGCCAGTGACTGCAAGGTGATATCAGATTACACAACTTCCTCAGGCTGAGCATTATTGCAATTTTACCTGCGACGCTACACCACAACAGGCCTGGTAGGATGATAACCCGGATAGATTGCCAAACAACATAGCAGCGATAAACCTTTTATTAAATGGGGCACTTCTATTAGCCTAGAGGATCCTAGAATAGCAGACGAAAATATGAACCTACCACCATCCCATCAGCAAGTAGAGTGTGCAGGACGTATAACGCATGCTTGATCACATACGTTTCTTGTGCAACGTCTGCGAAGAATGCTGCTGGTCCTCCTGGGTACGTGTCGCGATACTTTACCAGTCCATCTTCCACACGAATGATGCTCACGACAATGTGCTTGGTGAATGTTAATAGGTGCCATGCCACAGACGTGAAAAGCAAGAAGGACTCACCGCAGTACTCAATAAAAACAGCAGGATAGCCACTATGGCGATTGGGCGATTGATGTCTCGCACATGCTGTTTGTAGGTCAAAGACCATATGGTGCCCATAAACATGAGCACTGAAAAGCCTGGAGAGATGACTTGACTTGAGCTTGATGTACATGGGACAAACAACCCCGATGCCCGATGCTCACCGTATAAAATACCTTCCAGCACTGTTGCCATTAAAGCGCCGGCATCGAATGGGATACCACTTGAAGTCATGGCGAAAACTGGGAGATGCGCAGCGGTGTGTACATCTTCATCAGTTTCGTTATATAGAAATGAATCATTCTGTTATCATATGAGATCACTGATCCATCAGGCGGTGCTTGTTGATAGATCCGGTAGCTTGCAACGCCTTGCCAATGATGATGGCCTTCGAATTCACAGATAGGCTGATCTTGAAGGGATTTTAGTAACGAATTGATAACGAAAGAGTGACTTCCTTCTACTTATTTGGTCTACTTGAGGCTAGACAATTTCGGCTGCGGCCGCAGAGCGCATCTCTCCTGGACTGGTGTGGGGTGATGTTTCAGGTCTGCGCGAGCCGCTCAGAAGCAAGTCTGATACGGCGAGGTTGTCTACACTGTGACAATCAATTATGCTACACGACTGTTGCGATAAAGGAACTTTACAAGTAGCTATTATATGTCCTTCACTGATGAGTAAGCTAGGTTTGTAATTCCGAAAATGTATCGAGTCTTCACGCGCACGATCATGATGCGGCTCCACCAGCTAGTCCGAACTATTCGAGCCTCGATATTTTTAGAGGACACAAGTCAAATTCATGTTGACCGTGACGCTCGTGAGTCATGAGTCCGTTTTGTGTCTTTGAAAATGAACTCATGGGCGAGCGGGATTCAGATCAGGCATGGACAGTCGACCGATAATGTGGTCAGTTTACTTTGTAGTCTCCACGCGCCGTATTGTACTTAAATGTCACAGAGGCACGTGTGGGCAGGGTGGGCTGATGCCCCGCTAAGCCAGCGCGGTTCGTTAAGTCTTCTTTCACATCAGCTGCTCTGATATGCTCTCCAACACGCAGGAAAAACGGTAAACCCTCTTCAATTCTCCTGCTTCCTGCTTTCAACATCCGCATCATTTAGCAAGCCGAAGCTCTCGGCGCATACTTGTCCAAGACCCTGTTTACCAAGATCTATGCCTCTCCCCTCAAGCGCGCTGCCACCACTGCAGCACTTGTTCTTGCTGCCCAACCTGCCCCACAGCCGCCACATGACTTCACAATCGAGTCCATAAAGGAGCAGAATTTTGGCATTGCAGAGGGGAAACCGTGGTGTTCTCCTGATAACAGGTCTTCCAAGTCGCTCTCAGAGTACACGAGCGAGGGAAAGTACCCCACACCGCTTCCGGGTGAACGCTTTACGGACGGTGAGTCCGATGAAGATTTAGCAGCACGTGCGATGCAAGCCGTGGATGAAGTGGTCATGCCACACGTACGTAGTGCAATGCGGGCCAGGCGTGCAGAGCATATCGCACTCGTAAGCCATGGGCTCTGCATCAGAGCGCTCATTTGCGCGTTGTTAGAAAGGGACTCCAGAAAGATTACCCCATCGCGTGGGTACACTGGGATGCAGAACACGGCGTGGGCGAGGGTAATCATTGAAATGCAGGTCAGTTGATGTTATGTTCCTTTTTTATGCGGATGCTGATGGTAGTATACAGGACGTTGCAGATGGCATACCATTGGAGATCACTGATGAAGACAACTCTCTGATCGTAACAGTGACGGACTTCGGTCGTACGGATCATCTCGTCAAGCTTGTACGTCCACCTGACTTCCCCCATATATGGGGTTGCTACTACTAATTCTCAGAAGCCCAACGCCGGCGGGACCGGCAAGATTGCATACGACCCAAAGCAACGGGACATTAGAGCGTTCTTCGATGGTGCGGCGAATACCAAGGACTGTGAGAGCGATGCACTGGATGGAAACAATAGGGAAGCAAAGAAGTGACCTATTCACACCTTCGCAACGATGTCACTAGCAACCCGCAATTTTCTGCTTCCGTGCAATCAGCAATATACCTAGGCTCACTATAATCACAGAGGCTATGAACAAATACCTAACACACCGTTCAGATTGGCGCCAACAGATGGACCTTCATCTGCAAGCTTCCAAAGAAATCAACTGGTCGGTTGTTGATTTACTCGACCCTTGAGACATATTCTGATATCTGTACATTCGCGGACATTGAAGATGTCCTCTTCTAGTGTCTCATCTTGTCCAACCGTCACGCACGGTTCATCATCACTCCATGCCACCTTTCAAACCTTCCTTTCCAGACTGGATGATTTTCACTTCGCCAAAGATCTCAGGCTGATATGCCCATGTCTCAGCTGTTCGACAATTCATTGATAGATGGAATGTCATTCCTGAGGACGACGTCGTGGTTTTATCAGAAGATGATATTGATGCGAATTCTTGATATTATGATCAACTCAACCAAACAACTTGCACTCTCTATATAACAGCGTTTAAGTGACTCGTTTTAATCCAAACATGACCGTTGAACAAATCATCTCCTAACGTACAATAATGCTTAACTAGGCATATGTAAAAAACGTATGTCCAAAATTCATTCTTTAATGTCTGCGATGTCGCGCTAAATCACCATTCAGATCAACAACAAGTCGACCTATCGATATGATTATCTTCGCTAGCTATGGAGTTGCTAATGAGTGGTGGCGTGGCGTGTCCACTTCCTCCATCGTTGGGTTCACGGACAGTGTTCGGCATGTTAACGCCCAGTCCTATACCCATGATATGGGGCAGGCCAGCGCCGTCGACTCACTCACCATGAATGGGGTTGCAACCCAACTCCTTGTGCAGGTGTTTTTTTGTGTTGCTGGACGACCTAGGTGCTCGTAACTTGAGCACCATTCCATCGTCTGATTGCGCGAACAACATTAGCGGGAATTCGTGAGTTAGTTCCTTGCAGGATATTTCACATTAGCGGACCTACCAAGTTTCTTCGCTCCAAGGTGTCCCAGTACTCTCTCCTATTGTCTAACAGCAACGCGACAAACTCGGTCTATGTTTCGCGCACAAAACGCACTCGCTTCCGTGTTAGTGTCTCTGACAAGAGCACTGCAGGGACCGTCATGATTGGCTCTGACGAGATCATTATCACGTTGCACACCGTCGATCTGGTGGCCTTTTGCACAAAGGTGTTTGATCATAGACTGGAGTTCTGGAGCCCATACTCATTGGATGGCTCCAGATATTGTTCAATTGATTTTCCTAGTACTCTTTTCTAGTAACGATTTTCACAGGGTATTCCGCCTGTTGGAGCAGGGATCATTCTAAGTTTCCAGTGATGATCCAGGATACATTGTGGATTGCATGATTCCCATCTCTCATACGTCTCAAATTTCTCACATTCAGCGCTGGCTGCTGTCTCCTATTTGCGATCACTGGCAGCCTTTGTAATTCCCTTATTTTATCCAGTAATGTATACCACACTCGGGTTCGGGAAGGGCGACACTATTTTGGCGGTCGTAGCAATCGTCATAGGCTGTTCTGCGTAAGTCTTCGTTCTTCTTCCATTTGTCACCCTGAATAATGATACCTGCAGACCCTGGATATCTTGGCATTACGGGAGCAGATACGGAACAGCAGTCGATATGAACGGCGATAATCCTAGACAAATGAAGAGCGACCGAAGTAAGGCATGATTCACGATATGTCATGAATTATGAGTTCAATCCTATATACTGGCAGGGATACTGCATTCTTACTCTTGTTGGCCGTATGTAATACAAGGGTTTGGGTATGCAAATTATAGGCTCCCTGAATGGGCATTGAAGCTTGAAGATTCTGCCCGACTGTATGTAAATGCTAGCTGCCCTTCGTTCCATTGCCTTCTCCGGCTAGTCGACGCTCTCTTCTCCGCTTGACATCCCAATTATAAACTCTAGCAGTGTTGACTTCCATCACCGTCAGCTGCTCTCGCATAAACTCCAAGTCTTCGATCGTAGCTTTTAAGCTGGCCTCTGCAAGATCCAATTTGGATCGCAGGAGCGACGCAGCCTCTGACAACTTGTACGATAGCATAACATTCGCCTTATACGAATCAGATACCATCGGCAAACTCACGGTGGACAACTAAACTCACCCCTAGCCATAGATAGACGGTGTCGCTGTCCTCAAGTTCTGCCTCCGCAAAAAGCGTGTCATTTAATTCGAACGTTGTGGTAAGCGGCTTTTTGGGATTGTCGGAGTTTTCCTCGTCACTGAGGTCATCCTCCAGATCGTCGTTCTTGTTCTTGCCTTCCTACATAATCGTCAGATAATGTCGACGCACGTGTTCGCAGTGACAGACTCACTCTTTGTTCTTGCAGAAATTCCACCATATGTAATGTCTTTCTGATATCGGGGATCTTGTCTTCCAGACCTTTTCGTCGTTGTGTTAGGTTGGCATCCATATATCGATACTTCCTGGATTTCCTTAGTTTCAATATCGTCACAGAGTATATATCAAACATACGCGATAGCATCCTGGAAATTCTTCAGGGGAGTCTCGACCGCGCCATCTGAACCTCCCAGATATTCTTCGACATTTGCCTACATCATGAAGCATGAGCAGATGACCATTGATCTACTTTGGTTGATACGCGCGATGAATGGAGCTTTTGGGATACCCCGTGGATTTTTCTCCTCTTGAAATACCGACTTGGCAGACATGGTCGTAGAGACTGTAATCTTGAAAGCTCGAACCCCGCTTCCAATCATGACGTCCGGTTTGTGTCCGGTCGGAGTTGGAATTCATTTTTCCTCCCGTCCTCACGATTTTTTTTTCAATTCTATCCTGTTTGATTGTGAAAAATCTCCCCACATACTTGACGCCAGATTGCCTTGGAACGCACTCCGTACAACAATTGCAAGGTGCTTCCTCCGGAACCATCACAGATGTGAAAATTTCACTCGAAGCAAGACGGCACATCGCGTCGATTCGGTTTCGTTGGCTTCAAGACGGATCAAGAAGCAAACGCTGCAACTTGGGGGCTGTTTGGATCGCACGTTCATTGGCTCGACGCGAATTAATGTCGTGGCCGTCGCAGTAAGTTTTTTCTTCTTTCCAGGTGTCGTATTGCTTTTAATATATTTACTCGCAGGGGGTGAAAGATGCTCCAGCTTTTCGACTAAGTAAGGGAAGACGCCTTGAAGATACTGCTGCGGATTCAGGACCGTCATCGTGACCACATGTTCACAAGGCGGATTTCATCCAGCACTACCGACGGGCCTTCCTCGAGACAAAGATAGCATCCAATGGATCAGATAATAATGAGACTGTCTCGGACCTTGAATGGATGCGACGACGTATGAAGATGGTGTCGGATTCGTTACCCGATCAAGTCTGAGAAACGTGGGGTGAACCAGAGCACCATCCCTGAGGAACGCCAGTACTCGACAACAAAGACAACCATGCAGTCTCGTTTATTCCTTCGAAATCTTGCTCTCATCTCATGTATCGAAGCAGGGATCATGGAGCTATTTCAACCATTCGGGGAAGTTGTAAATGTGAGTATCTCGTAGCCTTGTTATGTATTCTCCACATCTTTCGCTTTTTTCTTGATGATAAACACTTAGGGACATCTGATCCTCCAGGGATGTGCTGATCCCCGGGAACCAATAGTAGAAAATTTATCTGACTTTTATTCCCCTTTTACAATTTGTGTGTTGCCGATCACTTCGCTGACTTATCACGATCCTACTAGGTCCATATACCTTGTCTAGGAAGTTGAAGGGTTTAGCCGATGTCTGCCCTCCTGGCGTATGAGGCGCTGGACAAGATGTCCTTCCAATGGCGTCCTCCCTACATCATCCCTGTCTCTGACCATAAATGCAAGTAGAGGGCGAGGGGCGAAAACAAATGTTTAAAGAAAAGGAGAGTTCTCGGCGTAAAACCACAGCTGGGCGGGACTTCAATTGGAGTGTGTTGTACATGAATGTTCGTCAAGCCTTTGTCATGTTATGCACTATATATCCAGATCTTGTGCAATGCATGTGCAGAGCTTAATGCAGTGGCATCGTCTATGCTGTTCGGATGGTTCCGAATTGTCCAGGCAGATATTCTGAAGTCTGAGTCGGATAATGCAGCAGTCAAGTGTGCGCTTGCGGAGATGCACATTATCCACGAGACGAAGTCGTACCTCGAGTTCCAGGGACTCGTCTTATCATCACTTTTTTTCCCGAGCGACTACGATATTTGTGAAGAACATCCTTTATGACACCACTGCGGAACAGATATGTGAGATGTTCGAGTTACACGGGAAACTCAACCGCGTTATCGTACCACCGGCAGCTACCATGGCGGTGATAAAATTCGGACAGGCAGATGAAGCTGCCAAGGCCTTTTCAGTTGTAGCTTACCGCCGTCTCGGAAGTAATGTGGTTTACTTGGAGAAGGGTCCGATGGGCATGTTCTAGGAGACTGCGGATGCAACAGGAAACAACGACTTCAAACTAATCACTCTTTAATGATGCACAGTGCCGACAAGGATATGCAGGCATCGCCTCCTCCAGTGAAACGACAACGCACGAGCCACTGCAGAGCATCCGAATCATTAATTGAGCAGTCGGAGTTTTGGTTTCCGACGGGGACACTGATTGGTGTCGAAGGGGAATCATGGAATGCTCATATGTTCTGAAATTTTTGCGGACATGCTCGAACTTCTGTAGCCGGCCGACATCGAGAGAATACATGAGTGTCGTCTGATCATTTTGTCGCAAAATTCCGCGAATAACTGGCTAATCCTGACATGGCTGTACCAACACGAGTAAGCCATCTTCTTATCCGTCAAACTATAATTGTATATCACCACGTCTCCAGGAAGTTCAATAACCTCACTGTCGTCTTTGATACCATAGCTGGAGCCCTACGACTCTCCAACAAATATGACATTGCGGACTTCCGTCAGTGGAGCACACATCAGCTACAGCTGTTTCTGCCTAGCCCCAAGACTTCACCAAAGTGACTTATGCTGCATTCTCTCATGCCGCTAGTGAGCTTCCCTTTTCTCCTGTAGATCGGTCTAAAATGTACTCTGGAGGTCATAAGCCTCGCGCAAGAATGTAATGTCCCTAGGATCCTTCCTGCCTCATACCATGCGCTTTTGATCTTCTGTTGGAGTCATCTAGCCGAGGGCACGTCCCCCTCGGTGATTCATACTTGGACGCAAACACCCTCAAGATCATCTATACGCAATCCTGACTGGTGTAGACGACCGGCCATGCGGACACACCACAGCTAGTTGCGAGAACGCACTCAGACGTGGCTCAGCTCATCGTTGAGGCCGGATGGTTTCTCTCCGTGGTTCCTTCGTAACTTGCAAACTCTTGCTATCAACAGATACCCAGGCTTGAGTTTACCATCACACCCGCTGTGATGTGAACTTTTCGTCAGCGAATCAGCGGGTTCGCTTAAGACCTTCACGAAGTAATTTTGAACTACGAGCATGTTTGTGTTACTCACCCTATGAGAAGACAGTAAAGTTTCTTGCACGGGTTTCCAGTACGCAACTAACCAGATTTTGGGAACATTTTTAGCTTCCGTGTTTCTTCACACATTTTGTTGCAAATGACATCAGAATTGGTATGCAAAACATATATTGATTTTTTAACACGTGACTGACGCGTCGTGTTTATCCAGGCAAGCACACACAAATATTCGTAACCGGTATAAATATCGCGGGATATCCTGGAGTCACCCCGTCGAATATCTTGCCAGCACACCCCACATTCAACGATATTCCGCCAACATTATGATTTCTACTACCTTCTACGTTGCTTCACGTTTCACCATTACGGCCTTAATCTCGGTATCGTTCTTCGAGGAAACGGTTCTCCGTCCAATCCGATCTGGACCAAGGAAGGGTACCGCCGGCCTCGTCGTGTCGGCATTCAAGTCGACAATTATCTTGATCCTAGCCGCTGACGAGGCCGCTTCAATGTATCTGAGCAACAATACCAGTGCACCCTCCACTAGCGAGCACGTTCCCGATGCACCACCAAGGCTGCCGGGAACGGCGTGCCCGACGTGCAATTTACATCAAGGTACTCCAGATCGTCACCCGCCCGCAAATTTCGTGTTGCCAGTTCCAGCCCAGAAGTCTTTTCTACCGTTATCTCCATCTTCATTGTCATCGTCACCTGTATTCAGATCGACAATGTCACACAACATCACTACTCTCGATTTGTCATATTCAGGCAATTGTAAGCGCCTCTCCATCACATCAAGTACTACCCTGGTAGCCTGCGACGACGACCGCTTGCAGGACGTCTTGCTACCATTTTCACTGTCATCGTCACCTGTATCCAGATCAACAATACCCAACGACATCACTACCCCCGATTTGCCATATTTCGACAATTGTAAGCGCCTCTCCATCGCATCAGATACTACCCTTGTAGCCTGCGACGACGACTACTCGAAGGACGTCTTGCTACCATCTTCATTGTCATCGTCACCTGTATTCAAATCGACAATGTCACACAACATCACTACTCTCGACCTCTCGATCATATCAGATACTGCCCTGGTAGCCTGCGACGACGACCGCTTGAAGGACGTCTTGCTACTATTTTCATTATCATCGTCACCTGTATTCAGACCAACACCCAACGACATCACTACTACCCTCGATTTGTCACATTTCAGCAATTGTAAGCGCCTCTCTATCGCATCAGATGCTACCCTTGTAGCCTGTGATGATGACTCAAAGGACATCTTCTCTGACAAGGTACGAGGCATCATATCTAACTTGACATTGCCTAACATTCGGTTCGCTCCAGGACAACTACGCTATGCCACAGCCTGGGGTGCTAGCACCAGCGCACACTACAGATAATGTCCGCATTGATGCCCCAGCTCCAAGCACAACTATCGACATCATTAGCCCCTTCTGTATGCCGTATGTTCGGCCACTTGTCCTAGTCGACAAATGCCAGACAACGCCTACGTGTACTGCTAGCCATTCTGTTCCTGGATCCGCACACCTCACAGATGCCTTGCTTCAGACGATGAAGACCACTAACTCCCTCCACAGCAGTCCATCCGTAGTCCCCACGGATACCTTCGTACACTTGAAGGGCGTCTTCACTGGCACTGACGAAGCATTAGACACCAAAGACGTCGAACACCACATCGACACCATATCCCCACGCACGCCAGCTCTTATCGCCGACAATGATCTTGTTATCGAAAATGCTCCGCCTGTCGAAAATGCTCTCGCCATCCGCAATGTTCCCTCTCATCCGCCAACCTTTCGGCCACTTGTTCCACTCGATAGCTTTCCAATGTCGTTGTGTACCAAAACTGACGCTAACCCTTCTGGATCCGCCCGACCCACTGACGTGCTTGCTCACAAGACCAAGGCTGCTGCCTCCTGGCTAAAGCCCCTGATACTCGTTACTAAATATGCCGCTGATCGACTCATCCCTCTACCTCTCACAGCGCTTCCTGAGAAGTCGCGCCCATATAAACTGAAGCAGCAGAAGGTACGGGCATATTCATTGTCAGGCTTGGTATATCACTCATCATACGTCATTAGCGCAAACCTGCTAGATCTTTGCGAATGGACTCTGCTTGCCACAGCATCGTGCGTTCTCGCCTCCGGCGACACGCCCACAGGATCGGTCAGTCATTCCTCTTCGTACTGTAATTGCTTATTGATTTCGGTACTACTAGTTGGCCACCTTGCGCAAGTCTGCAAACAGATTTGTGTCGATCAATCATCCCTCATGGACAGCTGGGTCACTGCCATGGCGGAGGTGGGGCTCACCTCGATGCTGGTCGGCAACCACCGGAAGTCGCCAGGATCGCAGCCCCCTCTTACATTCGAATCATTTTATGTTTTAGAGCCTGGTTCGCGGATCAAGGCCCGTCTTGCGTCACTTCGCCATCGAACAAATGCAGTCGTCGCCACAATTCCAGCTACCACCACTTTTCCACCTTTGCTACCCCGACGAGACACTTGCTGACACCTTCAACGTTTAACGCCACTCCGCTGCGGCTTCACTAATACCTACAACACTGACAACTTCTGCCTACTGACAACGAACACTGCGATAGCCCGCCAAGGTCACAGGTCACATAGCAACGAGAAAATACGACGCCATCGTGACATGCATCATGATACCAACACCATGACACTATCAAGCGAGACCACCCTCATGAACGACACTACAATACTCAGACAACGACCACCTCATGATACTTACGACAGACAATGCCTATCACCACGGTTCACGACATTCCAGACTTGCTCAACACGGGCCACAAGCTGACGAGAAGAGTACGACATCATCACGACCATTTAATGATATGCATTACGATGCTAATGCCACGGCACTACCAAGCAAGACCACTCACGACACTCAATTTCACGATACTTACGACGGACAACGCCTATCACCACAGTTCACGACATTTCAGACGTGCCCAACATAGGCGACAAGCTGACCAGAAGAGTATGACATGCATCACGATACTAACTCCACGCCACTGGCAAGCAAGACCATTCACGACACTCAGACACACCATTTCACGATGCTCACGACAGCCAACACTCAATTCCATGACACAACAATATCCGTGACGCTACGATGTCATCAGAAAGGTTCGCGAGACTCACGCTGCCACAATACCATCAACAAGGACCACTTTCCGTCGCTCACCACTAATCTCATCATGACCCACGTCCCAGTCATCATTGGCAAATATGATGCTGACAGCGAAACAAATTTCGACTTTTAGAGACCGCTAACTTCATCAGTTTACTAATCATACTTGACTCGGATATCTGCATTACTTGTTTTCCTGACTCGCACTGCCTACTCTACGTCATCTTGTATTTACTGAATAATCCTTGATGATAAGATTCTTTGCCTGCTCACGTATCTTGGGAATGAATGTTATGATTACTCGCGATCGGATTCGTCCACGAAGAGATTAAAAAATACTTTTATTATGGCCCGCCTTACTAGAGCTATTTGCTGTGTACTATCTCAAGAAGTTCTTCAGGTTGTTGACCCGGCATTTCCTTGATGTTTGGTTTCGCTTAGGCTGTCTGCTACCTGCTCCGGAGGTTACCACCAAATCAAATCGCTTTCGACAGCTAGGCTACTGGCAGGCCAAAGAGTGAACCAGAATCTTTCTGTCGAGGATAAGCTTCATTTATGGAGCCTTGCGGCCATGCCTCAGACTCCGAGGGCTACCGGTCATCATCGATTTATCATCTAATTCAATTCAAATTCGATTGCAGATGTTCCAAGTCTCTGCTGTCAACGTTTCCGGTGGTGGGACTTGGAGTAGCCTGGTCGATCTAGACAATGTATTGATTATTCCGCTGACGCGGCGAACTCAAGGACCTCTCGAGAACAGCCTTGATAAAAACTCGAGTCCTGCTATCCCTGACAACGAACTACAACACGAATACTACTTTCAAGACAGTAGTGATAGGTTAGTACTTCACCTTGATTTCATACAACAATAAACTCACTGCATGCGCAGCCTATTCAAGTCCTGGATGATCCGATCATAGGACAGCATCATTAGACGACCACCGTCGGAGACTTCGCCACACACTGACACCATCCCTCAAATAGGACGGCATTCTCAAAGGATCCTACTAGGGCCTAGGTCGTAGTTGTCCAACAGAATTTATCGGGATGATAGCTATTATGCAAGTTCGTGAAACAAACTGTCAGGTTCTTCAAGTTATTACACGCCTATAATGATCTTACAGCATTTCCCTGATCCGTGTTACAAGAAGCTCTCGAAAAACGGCATCGAGTACAATCGTGGATAAATCCGTAACTTTTAACGGGTTTCTGAAACGCGGTGTTTTTATATCGCGCCCACAGCGAGAACTAGCCGAAATTCAATCAAGTCGGGCCCCGCGATCTACTAGTATATTAAATCTACATGTTATTAGTGCTCACTATTCGAGTCGCCATCCACCGACCCCACTCTCCTTCAATATGACCATAGTCTCAAATAGTCCCGACTTCTGGTGGTATATCCAATATTATCGCGTTGAAAGCTATTATACAGGTTCGTAAGCAAGTCGGTTGTTGGCTCTATCATCGACGTTTTAGTAATCGGTTCCCCAGTTGCATCCACTGTTGTGGTGATATACGATTGGGGTGAGCAGGACATGGCTTACTAGTTACCGAGGAAGTTGCTGATGTTTTTATGCTACTCCCAAGCACTGACATTCGAACAAGAGGTATGTAGGTCGATGTCATTGTTGTCTCATTGCTAACGGTTTTGTAGTTTGAACTAGTCTGGGTGAGCACAGTGTTATGTTAGAAGTCTAAGGACAACTGGATGATTTCCGATATGAATTCGAAATAGAAACGACGCTGGTCCGTCACGAGCGTCTTATATCTTGCTGTACGTACCTTACCAATTTTAATTTTCATTTGGCAAGTGCGCTCACCTTACAACATTCCAGTTGCGCTATGGTGGAATAATATACGCTGTGTATGTTTGCGAGGCCAACATGTCAGCATTGTGCTAATTAGCCATCTCTCGTAACCAGCTTCGATATACCCGGTGTGTCTCTCCCACTCCCAGTATCTTCTGACATGTACTAAACTATGTCATCTAGCAAGTATCACGACACTCTACGTGTCAGATGATGTGAGTGATCCGAGCAATTCGAGCAATGCGTCCCATTACTGTCCAACTCACGATTCTCTCGTAGGGGTGAGTGATTTTCTCGACATTGTTGACTGAATGTAACATTCGAATAGCTGTGAGATTGGACTTAGTCCCCTACAATGCCCATCGCTCATTGTGTGTTTCAGGCACTGTTTTTGATTTCGAACAATGGTGGATGTTTACAATCGCAAACATCATGCTGGGTGGTGAGTTATTTAGCTTTAATACATTGCTAATGCTCTGAAATATCTTGCCAGTGATCATGATTACTCGGTTGCATGCCATGTATCAGCGATCGAGAAAGATGCTTATCTTCCTCGTTGTATTTTTCCTTACCGTGACGACTACTAGCGCAGTAATCACGGTAATACAAAGCACACATATTACAGGAGGTAAGCTTTGGTAATGCACGAAGGACTTCAGAGAGTCAGGCTTACAAGACAAATAACAGAGGAGCTCATCCTCTCCGGTACTTATCAGTGCAATTACGAGGGGAATAGCCTTCTTCTATCAGCCGTCACTTGGGTACTCGGCACCGTATGGGAAGCCCTCGCGTTGTATCTTTCAGTCCGTATTGCTATAAAGCATTTCCGCGAACGACTATCGACAGGGTCGATTATTGAGGACTGTTTCACGGTGTTAATAAAAAGTCATGTATTTTACTTTGCAAGGTGAGCTCATGACTTGAGCTCCTTATCGTTTCAACGTTGATGTTCTGTATGTTTCAGCTTTGCTGCCGTTGCTTCCTTCCGCATTAGCTTCATCTCTCCAAATTTACCGGTGGGCCCATCCGTTACTGACTCGCATCCATCTGACTGCTCTTCGATTGTGCAGAGCGGAAGTTCTGCAGGAGCTGAGCTTTATTACGCTGTTGCGCTAGTTTCCGCGCTCTTGCAGATGTTTTTGCTGGGACCGCGCCTCGTCCTTAGCGTTCGAGAACACGGCACTAGGCTTGTGGATGACTCCGAAGGAGCAACTGCCATGACTACGGTTGCATTCCAGGAGTGCACACTCGCATCGACTGATAGCGGCATGTAGTATGAGGAATACTCTATGACATTGTTATCTTGGCATTGTATTGCAGGGAGGTTGAGAATGCCGTTTGGATTCGGAGTTTCGCCATGGTACTAACTGATATGTATTTTCAATCATGTATGAGAAATAGACTCGCCATGTTTGGGAAACCCAATAGTAAATGTGACTGACCAGGCGCTGGCACTCACCCCAAGGCTTATTTGGTGAAGCTAAGAAGCAGTGTCTTCATACCTTCGGGCCAAAGTTCTAGGGAGTCTGGACCTAACACTGTCAAGGTGGTTCAACGTTCAAGTTTAAGCCGACCGAGTCCAACTTAGGCTAATCACATTCAGATAACTCTAATCCAGACACGACAAAATCACCATCCTCCGATCGCCTTCGCGAGGATGTGAGCACGCTTGATTCCGCGCAAGTAGTATATATCGAGTCATCACATCCTCTGCGAATCCTCTTCAGCTGCACAGGGTTTGATCCCGCGGAAGCCATTCGCATGAAGTCAACTCCCCAGCTTCACTATGGCGCAAACACCGCGGTCTTTCCAAAAAAAAAACAAATCCGGCGAAAAAGATCGATCTTTCTCGCGGACGTGAGCATGAATGCATCAAGCCCATCTCATATGCCCATTCTGATAATTTCAGTATGGACTTGGAGATGAGGCTGAGGCCGAGTTTGTAGTCAACGGATGGGTCGATCCGACCTCTGGTACAAAGTATTGGTATTGATGTCTGAAATGGATGAGTGTCGTTAAAGCGCCCTTTTCGACTTGCCTGGACTAGCTATTGGTCACACGACTCCATGAGCTAGTGGGATAAACCGACAAGCCCATGAGGCCCCAGGTGTGTCGAACGACAACGCTGGTGGACGTCGCTGCTAGTGATGTAAGTGAATGGTCCTCGGGAAAGAGAATTTGAACAAAAGCTGTGCACTAGGGCGTTGAAAAAAAACGAGGTTGAAATTGAGAATGGTGGTGTTAGGAGCAGTCCTATACGTCGCTCACCACGGCATGCATATCAAAAAGGTGACACTATGTCGAGCACGGCGGAGATATAATATGAGATGGAGTACTGTGCCTTAACAAGTAGGATCATGATGCGCTTGTTGAGCGAAGATGGGCCCGGGGTCAGGTCCCCGTTCACGATGAGCGGCGACATACTCGTTGTTTGACAAAATCGCTGTCGACACGAAAAGGAGGTGAAAGGTAAGACCTACTAACTCGTGGTTAACTTAAAGCCGATCGATCAACCGAGACCAACAGGTAGAGCCAAACAGTCGCAAGCAACCGAAACTCTAATCGTATCTGAGATGCTCATCAGGCATTTGACTTCTGTATGACAAAGATTTAACCTGATACACAATATATATCACAAGTACTATACTTGTACGATCCGTCCCCGGGCTTGGAAAGTGTAGTTGTCAAGGGAGGGTAACGCGAGCGAAAGTAGTTATGGACGAGATAAGATTCTGTGGGTATAGAGCACAGGCTGCACAGCGCACTGACACTAGACATCGCATGAATCGGTGTGATGGCACCTCGCCTGGGATGAGTTCTCATATGTGTGGAAGCTTGAGAATACCCTAACGTGCTTTCTTTCCCTCGTTCATATCGTTCATATTAGCCTTTTTATTTAAATAAAGCTCAGGACATACCAACCCAGACAACCATGGACGCGACAGACTCCTCCATCAAAGTCAAAGTATCCCCAACCCAAAGCGCATACTTTGCTGGTGAACCTTTCACCGTCGAAATCACATTCACCAATACACGTACACCCTCTCCAAACAACACACCACTAGTACCGGCATCTGCACCAGTTCAGAAATCGCATAGACGAAATGCCCATTCTATAAGTTCGGCACCCCTCGCCAGGCCTCCTACCTCTCCTGGCTTGAGCCCACGTCCACCAGATTTCATTAAAGCGCTTGGAAGTGGAATTGGTGAAGAGGGAAGAAAGGGATTGATTGGGAATGGATCAGTCGATGTCAAAGGGAAAGGCAAAGAAGTGCTCGAAGCAAGGCGTAGTGCATTGGAGAAGGCCAAGCGCAGTGCTAGTGAAGAGTATGTACAAGCTTATGAAGTAGATCAAGGTAAGTCCTTCGTCATCGTCATCGTCCTTGACTAGCTCAAAGTGATCGCAGTAACACCACGTACAACCTTCACTATTCCCCAAAACCATCCACATGCACGCAAACAATCAGTATTGGACGGTCACCTCCAGTCAACCGAAGTAGTACAACCCCAGACCAGCACGCTCGACACAATAGCAGAAGGGCCCACCCACTCATACCCCCCTCGTAGACCATCGCTTCAGGCACTCGGTCATGGTCATCCTCATTCATACACCAAACCTATCCCCAAAGACACAGCCCTCCTCCTCTACTCATATGCCCAACTTTCAGGAACAGCACACATCCTCCCACAAAGTACACCAGCAGCCTTGTCTAATCTTCGCGCACATCTCCTCAAAAAACCTGTATTGGGAGGCGGAAGCATGGACATCGCCAGTACCCGCAGGTCCCATTCGCGTTCTACGAGTCTTACGGGTTCCCTATTAAGTCTATTAAGTCCTTCGAGTTATACTCCTACGCTCGGGAGATCAAGAGCCCCTTCCCTCAGTTCACAAAGTGATACGTCTCCTGCAAATGTTGGTTTGGGATTGAGTGTTGGAGCAGCGAACCCTGTGGAAGAAGGGGAAGAGGAGATGCCGCTCCCTGTATTCGAAGTACAACCTGCCATGCTAGCTGTCGATCTCGCCTTGGGTCCTGGAGAAAGTAGGACTTGTGAGTTGCCTTACCTCTTCTTTGTGTAATCATGCTGATGCACAATAGATACATACACCCTTCCCCTACCCTCCTCCCTCCCTCCTACATTCAAGGGCCGCATGATCCGCTTCTCATACGAACTTACAGTCGGTACGTGCCGGAGAGGCGATAGCGGTGAAGCTCCTTCTACCGGCGTGACAGTGAGCAGGGTAATGAAAGTCCCTATCAGGGTGTATAATTGGGTCAGCGGTGAGTCTGTCGTTTTCCTTACTTCAACCTGACGCTCACCAATCAATGCAGTCAGCAAACCACAAAGCCCCTACGACCTCCTCCTCCCCGTGCGTAAACACGACGGTGGAAAAGTTATCGAGCTAGGCAGCGCATGTGGAGATGCAAAGAAAGACTCGTCCTCTTCTTCGTCGAAACATTGTGCGTCTTCTTATCTTCGATGCATCACATAATTAAATGGGAGATAGCACTGACTACATCACCTTGTGACTCCCTTGATGACCTCCGCGCCTACGGGGAGAGGCTACTCGAGACCTTCCCTGCGGAGGGGTCGACGGGTGTGAGGATTAAGGAGCCTGCCGAGAGCGTGCCTGAAAGTGTACCTTCTTCCTCCTCTGGGCTTGCTTCTGGGAGTGGGAGTCAAGCAACTTCGGATCCTCTCAGAGCATTCGCAAGAGAACGCGAAACAGAGATAGAGGGAGGAGAGGGAGAACTGACAGGATGTCGAGAAGCTGTCGAGATCTTAACCCGGAATCCCAAAAAAGGCACGTCCAGCGCGTGATTCGCTCTATGCGAACTACTAACACCCCGCCAGTCTCATACGACGTGACAAAAGATGGGGTCAAAGTGGCTATTCTCACATTCACAAAAAGCGCGTATCGGCTTGGGGAGACTGTTTTGGGCATTGTGGAGATTAATGAGCGGGAGGGACGGGGGAAGGTAATTTCGGTGAGTAGTTTGTTCCTGGCTGGTCTTGATTGCGTCATTTTTTTCTCAATTTCGAGGGCTGTATTGGCTTATCATTCTCGGTTCTTTTGACAGCTAAGTGCAACGCTAGAAACGAACGAAAGCCTCCCAGCCTCCCTAGGAACCACAGACACGAGTACAAGTACTACACGCCGCGTTCACGCAGAACACCACGCCTCGTTCACAGGCAGTACCCTTCGTACCACATTCGCACTTGATATACCCAGCGACGCATCTCCCACATTCGGAATCGTGCTCTCATCTCCTCCTTTGCTTGGGAACGGCCATATCAATGGGTCCTTGTCTGGGAACGGAACCGTGGCTGGGGCTGGACCTGGGAAGATAGGGGGGTTGACGTGGAAAGTACACCTGACACTACTAGTAGGCGTTACAGCGCCGAACGCACGGGTGCGTGGGTTAACGAGGGATGGCGCGCCTACTTCGTGGGGAAGTGCATGGCGTGCGCCCGTTGGGATCGCTCCGGAACAGCAAGAGGTGCCTGGGAGCGGTGCGAAAGAAGTCGGCAAACAAGCACAGCAGCAGAGCTGGACTTCGTATCTCATGAGTTCGTTCCTCGGGACTGGGGAGAAAGAGTATCATGATGGGGATGACATTAATGATGATGAAGAGCCTGAGGTTCCTGCTCAGAAGGAGGAAGGGGAGCAGGAGGAGGGTGATTGGAGAGATGTGCAAGTTGAGATCGTGGAGTGTGAAGTACCAGTGGTGGTTTGGCCTGGTAACACAGCGTTCAGCGCTGTTGACGTTGTGTTCGAGGTGTGACCTAGGTATGATCGAGATCCGTGATCTAGATTCCGCGGAAGGATCCGTATTGCCCCACACATCGGCGGATATTTATCGAAAGGTTTTTTTTTGTTTGTATGTATGATATTATTTTAATTAAAAAATGGTGGTGAGCTCGTGACGGAACCCAAGCCTTTCCTTGTAACTTGAACTCGGTTTTTGTGTTTAGAGCATACTAGAGAGCTAGGTGAGTGAGTTTCAGCGATTATCATAGAGATTTAGTTAAATGGAAGGATGTAGTGATAGAAACTAATAATTAGTGAAAGTCCCCGTCAGCCGCCAGCTGTCGTACGAACTCGCCAGCTGCTCTCGCCACCGCCAGCTGTCATGCAACATCTGCCTGAAAACGACGACTTTAATCGCAGGCATCGTTTCCTTGACCCAGACCCAAATAATTCTGGCAGGGAACGAGCGACAAGTCAACCGCCAAGGGCAAACCTCACAAGTCTACGCAATCAAAACTCTCC